GTGTGTAGTTAATTATCCTTGTTTGGTCTGTGTATTTAAGTGCCTGTGTGTTCAGTTCTAGTTTGTCCGGTCTCGTCAATGTCAGCGTCTGCGTTTATGCTACCCTGTGTGTTGGATTACCCTTGTTGGATTACCAGTGTGTTGGATTAAAGACTTGATAAATCTTCGTCTTCGTGCGTTTGTGAGCAGCACAGCTGTGACGGAAGACCGGACCCACAAAAGGGAAAGCAAAGCAGCGTTTATTTGGGTGTTTCTTTTTGGTTTGATTCAGTGTTTCTTTTGTAAATTTTTTCCCATTATGGATCACTTTGCCGCTGTCCACCTGCTCTGCCTTGAGCAGGGGAACCGCTCCCTCAAGGAGCATGTTGAGGAATTCCTCCATCTCGCCCATCAGACCACCTGCCCGGACGACTGCCTGTGCACGTTCCTGCACACCGGACTGAACACCGCCAGATGAACGCAGTTGTCTGGGGAGGGTCCTCGAGGGAGTTTCGCCGTTTATGTAAAGTGGGTGCTGAGCTCCTGCGGATCTGCCTTCACTGTCGGCCTCGTGGATGAAGACGCCAGCCCCACTTCCAACCCAGTGCCCAGCCAGTCACCACCCCGCTGCACGGAGAATCTGCCTGAGCCCACCGTGACTGAAGAGCCATCGCGAGAAGAAGCGACTGCGCTTACCATCGCCCTGGAGCCTGAGCCGATTGATACTGGTAACACTGCATGTGCCGGAGGGAATTCTCGTGGAATATGACTGGACTTGGACACTAATTTTCAGTTTGGAGAGTTAGAGACTTTGCTTCCCCTGAGCCTGCCTGATTCTATTAATCTGTCTGATTCGCTTGTCCCGCCCAGCCTCCCTCTCCCACCTCCTCTCCAAATTGCCCTAAGAGGCTTTTTATTTTTAATTGGATTTTGTGCATTTATTCATTCTCCTCAGTCATCAGCCACTACTGTTGTCCAGTCGTCTTCGTCCCCGTCAGTTCTTCTGTAATCTCCTCTCAGTGGTGGGGCTCTATCTCGGGCCAGCTGGGAGTCTCCGTCTCCTGGACCTGAGGAGCCCGTGGCTCGGCCTCCGGCCTTGGATGACCCCGCTCCACCTCACCCAGCCGTCATAACTCCTGCGCCTGTGCTCCTCCCACCCTCGAGTCCGGCATGGACCATCGTCCATTTGACCTCGGCGGGCTCCCTCGGTCAGTCGGCTCCACCTGGGTCGGACGTAGCGACGTCTCCACTGCAGACTTGCAAGCCGTCCGCTGCTCTCCGGCCCTCCACCCCTTTGGCTCCGGCAAGCTCCACCCTCCCTCAGGCTCTGCCTCTTTCGCCCTCTGGATCCCCACCTACATTTCGAGCGATCGTCGCTACGGCTCCATCGTGGCCGCCTGGATCCTTGGCATCGCTCCACCTCCTCGGCTCTCTGTCTGCGCCGTGGGCTCCACCGCCGTCGCCTCCGGTCGCCCTCATGTTGGCGTGTGTTCTTGGCTCCTCCCTCCATCGACGCCGCCATGGAGCACCATCCTGGCTGTGGCCTGGGCACCTGCCATCATGCCTCTGCTCAAGGCTACTCCCTGGCCCTTACCTCCATCTCCACCTTGGACTCTGTTTGTTGTCCTCCTCCAGAACCTCCACCAGTTTTCTCCGCTGGCCGCCTGCCCTTCGCCATCCCTCTGCAGTTGTCCTGACCCTCCTCTCTCTGCGCCTTCCGGGAGGGGGGAGGGGGGGCGATCTGTCACGACCTCATGGACTTTGTTTTCCTTTTTGCACTGTTTACCTTCATTGTGTTAATTGTGTCATTTGGTTCAGGTGTGTCTTGTTGATCTTCCTTGTTTGGTCGTGTATTTAAGTTCCTATGTGTTCAGTTTTAGTGGTCCAGTCCTGAGTCGTTAATGTCTGCATGTGTGCTACCTGTATGTTGGATTACCCTTTTTGGATTACCCTTGTTGGATTAAAGACTTTTGATATAACCTTCTTCATCTTCGTGCACTTATTATCACAGCGTAGCCATGACAGTAAAGAGGTTTCCCATGGTTTTTTTTTGCTAATATTTTCTCTGATGTCTGCAGGTATTGAGAAGAAAGTCTGACCTTTATCTTTCAGACCGTCTTGACATCAAAGCTGTTTTCTACTGTGGTAAGCATCGCATCAACAAGTGTATTCACAGCTACAAAATTCATTTATTGATCCATTAATTAAGTGTCTATGTCTATGTAGGAATCTTGTCATTCAAATTTCCTGAAACTCCAACACTGAAAGCAACTTGTCTGCTATTCGTAAGTACAACACTGAACATGTACCAAGAAGCAGTTCATCTTCATAGACAGCTGTAATTGTACACACAGCGCAAATACTACAGCTTGTACTGGAACACTTTCTGTACCATTAAAGGGGTCATGAACTGAGAAATCTAAATGCCCTTGATCTTTTGACATATAAAAGGTTATTGTACTATAAAAACATCCTGTAAGTTTCAGAATTCAAAACTTTCTCGTTAGTCTAAAAACAGCTTATATTGAAGCCAATCTGCCAAAACGACAAAGGTTGTGGAATGTGCCACTTTATGACGTAATAGAGCGGGGTAAACACCGCCTCCGCAGAAGAAGATCAATGCCTGCTTCTACATGACTGCCTGTTTAGCCCCGCCCACCGATGCACGCACATAGTGGGTAAATAACGAGAGAGGCAAATGCAGGTCTACGCAGAAACCAAACGATAAAGAAGCTCATAAGACAACAAGATGCTGTACAGTGCCAAGCTGTGGAAAAACACAGTCTTTGCATTGTCTTCCTTCTGATTAAAAAATTAGGAAAGAGTGGATGAAGTTTATTTTTAATGAAGTTCCAAACCGCGTCAGTAAGAACTTGGTCCTTTTGTTCACTTCATTTCACCGCGGATTCATTTACAAACGAGGCACAATTCGATGCAGGATTTTCAGAAAGATTGAAACTAAAAGATGATGCTGTGCCAAATATAGTGGATCCGACAGTAATGTCGCACCGCACAAGTGTGTTACTGTTTTTATTATGTGGTCACTATTGCTTTGTCTGTTATTACAGATCATTTGATATGTATTGAGTATTTATGCGTTTTTAACCTAAATCACAGCAGCATCCATCTGGGAAGGATGTAGGCTGTCAAACATACACAACTGTTCGACAATCAAGGCAGTGGGCGTTTACTTCCGAGTCGACAATCCGCCACGCCTAATCAAACACAGCGTTCCAATGAGAGGGGTCAAAACAGGACAGAAAACTCTAAATTATGCTTTTTGATGTAAACATTTTGATAACGTTATAAGTGGACCTCAGAGAACAGTACAAAATAATAAAAAAGGCAGTTCATGATCCCTTTATTACTTGTAATATTAGTCACCCTGTACATACGAGTAGAGTATATAGTACTCAAGACTGAGCTCTCTTGATGCTCCTGCACAGACGGAGCTGATCTCTCATTGTGAGGATATTCCTGTTGTGAGGGAGGTGCTACAGGAGGATGGCAAGCTGCTCCTTCAGACCCTACTAGAGGTCAGATATTTATGCATGTATATTGTTTCCGTCAGCAAGTCAATCATATAAAAATCTGTGGTTTCAGACAGACTCTGTGTGCATTAGTGTTTGCCATTTCTTAGTCACTCTTTCTTCAAGTTACATTGTTACACCAGTAGGTGGCAACAGGTGACTTTTATCATTGAATAATTTATTCAACTGATTCATTCAAACACTCATTCCATTCATACAAACATTCACTCAAGCAGTTCGTTCAAAAACACCTATTCAATTAAATTCCATTTGTTAATATTTGTACTATGATGGTCTTTGATTATATTGATCAAGGTAGTAGATTCAGGAGTAAATTAAGTGATGGTTTTTATGAGTGAATCATAGAATAATTCACTCCATAGATTATATAGATGTGTATATATAGGTAGACGCCCTATTAGCGGCTGTTTTTATGGGCCGCTATACATAAGCAGTCCACCATATTGGAAAGTTCAAAGCCGATTCTTGAACACTCTAGCAAATTGTCAATGTCTGCAACCCTAGTTATACACATGTATGAATATCTATATCTGCAATAGACTTCAACAGATGATTTTGCTAAACTAACACTTTAGCTAACACGACATTTAAAAGGTACTATAATTAAAACCTGTAATATTGAGTTAATACATGTTAAAAACACAAACCAACACATTCTTATCTGTGAAAATGTATCCAATTTCTTCATGAATTTAAATTTCAACAATTTTTACAACCAGAGTCTGCGCAGTGTTGTGGCATCTTGAAACGCATTGATTTTTATTGTGAGTGACAACACATTGACTGTTCCAAGATGACAGACACTTCGACATGTCTGGAGCAGTCGTATGTGGCATCTGCCTATACATATATATGATTCACTCAACCATTTTATTTCAGCAAACTGAGCCATTCAGGATGAAAACAAGTTTTTTTTTCTGAGTTAATCATTGTATCACGGACTCAAACAATTCATTCAAAAACAGATTCATTCAGGAGCAAATTATCTGACTGTCTATATGAGTGAGTAATTGAATAATTAATTTAACCTTTTTTTTAGTCACACCGATTCTCTTAGTATGAAAACAAGTGACTATATTTAGGAGCGAGTCACTGAATCATTCACTTAGCTAATTTGTTAAAAACAGATTCATGCAGCAATGAATTAAGTGACTTGTTATTAGTGAGTCATTGAATCATTCACTGATTTGTTCGCTATATTTAGGAGCGAGTCACTGAATCATTCACTTAGCTAATTTGTTTAAAAACAGATTCATGCAGCAATGAATTAAGTGACTTGTTATTAGTGAGTCATTGAATCATTCACTGATTTGTTCACATCTCACCACTGAGCACAAAGAACACTTTTGCCAGCAGATCCTCAGGTAGAACCATGACTTTAACATTAACACCAGAACAGGCACTCTGCACTTTATAAGCATTTGTTTCGTCTTTTCAACTGTTCACACAGGGAACAAGTGAGTAAGCGACGGATGAAGGACATTGTGAAAGAGTTTGCTTTGTTGAGTCGAGGACTACAAGGTACTGAGTATGCAGCAAGCTACTAAACACACTCTCTATGCAAGATCCAGAATGGATTCTGAGTTACAATTGCTTTACTGTTGTGGGGTCAAAAGATACAGTGCCCTATTTTGAATCAAGCCATATTGTTAACGTGTTATGATTGAAAAAGCAATCTGAATGATTGAAATAATAGATATGATTTTGATTTTTGTAATCCTATCACATCTTCTGTAAACACCACAACGGCACTGATTTCACCACAAAAAAATATTTTTTTTTGCCTATTAAAACGATCAAAACATCCTTAAAACGAGATACATTTACTCATGACTTTTTGTTTCAGAGAATATATCTCTATTTTTGTTTTAGGATAAACCTTGCTAAATGTTAGTTTGGGTTATACAAGGTTATGCAAGTCTTATACATTTATATTTATCTTATACATTTTTATGAATGGTGGTTTTTCCAGTTCTGTGGAAACCTGTGGAGCTTTGCAAGCTGTTTCGTGTGCGTTTTTTTTTTTTTTTTTTTTTTT